ACCCATCACACGTCTCACATACGTGACATGTCCCACGTGACCGCTGGCATGTTTCTTCTGGGCTTTGAGTTTTGTTTACAACTTACAAGCAGCTGCATGTATCCTTTGGGGGGGTAGATGGAACTGAGCGCAAATACAGTAGCAATATAATAATCTTCAAATAATGCACAGCCCTTTGTAAATGCACTGCGAGATGAAGGCTGCCCCATGCTGTGTTGGTCAAGGAGGTTGTTTCAACATATTTCACTATGCTGGTCAGTCCGGGTTGGTTCACATGTCACTCCCCACGTGGCCAGTTATTGAAATAAGGTTGTCAGGTTCATGAGTGCAGTGCACAAAACACCACTCCCCCGATGGTAATACAAGTTAGGCATATAGCTTTGCATACGTTTATATATTTTGGGAAGTGATTTTGAAACACGCTACGCCTACCAATGATACTAAACATATACCTTTTGGACTTTTCTGGGTTGACTACAACACTTTACTCGTACTAGCAAAAACATATAATTCCACCATTTAGAGAGGGCTGAGAAAAAGATAAATAATACATATATGGGCATACTATCCCCATTTAGCTACACCCTAAATGTGTAATGTGGAACACACTGTCAATAGAGTGACAGATGCAGATATAAGCAATTTCAAGTATATTAACCACGTGAGAACTCGAGAACAGGATGAGTCTCATTTGCAAGTGGTCTGGGTTATCAATGACAAAAACAATAGAATAACACACTACAGTGACGCATTTAGTAATTAAAGCTACAACTAAATATAAATCCTGACAAAAATTACCGTATTTCAGGGGAAATCTAACATAATGCCAATATTAAATACATAAATTGTCAATCTTGATTTGAAGCTTCGTCACGTCATGAATGTCGGCTGGGACAAATTACTTTTAAAACCGTTCATAATGTGATTGTTAGAGAAATATTAAAAATATATAGGGGTGGTTATTGTACTAATATGGAAACAATCACGGGTAAAAGCATATCTGTCAACCCATACGGTGTATCCGTATTCTTGTACAGGGAAATGAGTTTTCGTGTTAATACGGCATACACCCGTGTCTATTTGTTTGTGTTTCTCCCTTGTGATGAAACTTTGTAGGACGAACGTTGAGAGTTATAAGGGGCACGGGGTGACCAATAAGGTCTGAATTGGTCTGTAATAAGGGCACTGGTAAGGGGTTGACAGGGATGTAAACATCAAAGTGTAACTAACCGCATTGGTGGTAATGAACTTCGTACTACAAGTAAATTATCCGAACTAATTGATATTTCTTAGAATCTAGATACTCTACATGGACATGTCAAATGCATGGTGCTCGGCTGCAATGTATTACAATATAGTCCTGCAATATAGTATTATGATATAGCAATATAGTGATGCACTTACAACAAACCAACATCCACCACATTTCCGCTGCAGACTGCTTTTAATTGCAGTCATTTGTAAATGGAATCATGTTGCATTGCATGCCACTGTGTTGAGCTTGTTTTTAAAGTCTAGATTCAATTACAAAACACTTCAACGTGCATTATATTTTACGATGGTAAGTTGTTATTTGGTACTTGAATCAGCATTTTATTTTCAATTTCGGTATTAAATATTATACCGTTTAAATTACTGAAATGTATATATAGACCGTGTAGACGCGTGGCCAAGTCTGGAAATAAAGCATTACAAATTCACCACTAGATAGAACTGTAAACCTGTTTTGTCTTTGCCCTCATATTCATGGCTGTGATGATAGTTGACAATCTGTTTTACACCTAATAGTGAACTCATTAATAACATATCTGTGGTGCATTATCATCATCTGCAGTATGCAGTGGTCTGAAATATGTAGGGATCTCTCTCTCTCTCGAGCCTGTATAATGTAACAAACCACTTAAGTTGTTTCAGCAGTTCATTTAACTGGGACATTTTTATTTGTATATGTGGGTGAGACGTTCCCTCTTTATAATAAAAATCGTGTGACAACCTGGTCAAACCACGTCAAAATAGACCTGGCCCTATAATGACACCCTAAGCACAAGTTGTTTCCATGTGCTCTTTATAAAGGGGCCAAAGCCATATTTTATCTGATTTGTGCTCCTGACGTCATGTTATGAGACAACTCATACATTCGGAGTTTTTGTAGAGCATAAAATGACCCACAGAAGTGGATATCCCAGAGCTACCTCTGAAATCCCTTCAAGTGAGTGTTGGTCACTGACAGTAATCATAATAAACCATTTGATTCCCAGAGCTGGAATTGAACCAAATTACTCAAACAAATTTAATACTGTCTTATTCCTTTTTTCGGCACGTCGGCTGAGACCATCAATACTCTAAACGTGTGATGGGGTAAATAGTGGGTATTCTCACCTCTTCCAAGATGCCTGGCCAGCATGGGAGAGGCCAACATACCCTCGAACAGGTTTTTTAGAGCACTTTCTCCATAAATGGCATGATCCAGCAATTGCAGGGCTGCCCCTTTACCTTGATAACCTATCCCAGTTCAAGCTGGTTGTGGAAACAGCATCAATATTGCTGGCAATGCACAGAGTAGGTACTCTGTCCTTGGTGTTTTGAGATGCTAGGAATTCTAGATGCCGGTGCATGCTACTTTTTAATAGTGTTACCCCAACGGTAGTTTTTTTTGCGTATTATAGCGCTATAAATAGAAACGAATTTGCATTCATGCCAGAAGCTTGAATTGTTTTTATCGGTGGCATTGCCTCCATTATTATGCGCCGGTCGTCCTGTTTGACTGTGATGTGCAGTGCCCTCTACCAGCGTTTTGTTATGGTTCCCATTGGCTCTCAGCCACCGTCATTGCCAACGGAATCTAAGAATCCTAACCATGGCTGCGGGACGCACCCCCAAAGCATTACGTCACCCCGCGATCACGTCCCTCCAAAAAGCAATAAGCATCGAGGAGTCGTGCTGCGTGTAACACGAGGTCTGACCGAGCGTCTGGGAGAGCAACAATGTGGAGAGGGTGACAGCGCGCAGTGTCAGTGCCCGCTGCACATTTTTTTAATTTGTCAATTTAATTTTTTTCGAACAAAAACCGCGGTCTCGCAAAACATCGAAAGGTCGCTCAAGCTCGAAGCAGGCTTCCATTGGCCATCTTCCAGCCGTGTCCGTCTGGCAATAGCCCCTCTGATGCTGCGGAGTTCGAATTCTCTCAGTTCCAGACAAATCGTCTTACTCGAGTGGCTCCTAACCAATGGTCGGTATGTGGACGAACCTGGGTGCTCTGTGCAAGGGCCTCGTGGCAAGTGGTTCGCGGTGACTGGTAGGTTCGCAGTTTTAGTTTCCATTCCATAGTGGGGTGTGGTTTGTTAGGTAAAAACAATGCTGGGAACCAGTTTTTGACGATCCCCATCTGGACCTGCGAGTCTTTAAGTTCCAGACAATCTTCTGTGATGGTATCGGGTGATTTGTGTTCTCTCCCTCGGGCGTCTTGTCACTGTTCTAATATTATCCAGGAGCAGTTTGGGATATTGTCCATCTCATGAAATAATTGTCCTGTTTAATTCAGGTATCCACGGAGACAGTAACGTCTTGCAATAACGTGGTGTCTGGTATTTTAGAGGCAAACGAGGAACGACTGACACCGTTGTCTTAAACACAAGGCATTTAGGCCAAGTGGGAGCCCATTGAGAACCATCGTGTCGGTAAGTGAAGCACTATATTTAAGCCACATCATATTGCGATATAATTGATTTGCAAGTGATATCCTTTAATCCAAATGCGAGCCTACTGAGACACCATGGCTTTAAGGATCATTGACACATTCCATTGTTGGGTGTTTGACAAGGCTGACGGTTCAGATGTCAAACGCTACCCACGTTGGCCATGACCTGGAATTGCACTCAGGTGTCCCACCAGGTTCGGGGCAAAGTGAGAACAATCCTAGTAAACAATGACGTCTGTGTCATGAAAGTCCTTTATTTAATCCAGGTGAGAGCCCCGTTGAAATTCCACGTCTGTGTGAAATAAGTCCTCTAACCAGGTTACTGCTTGATGGGGGAAAGAGCCACCTTTTATGCAATACACTACACATGAACGGCCCTTTGAACAATTGGATGATGCTTCCTCACGCTGCACGGATCATGGGGATTGACCATACTTCACCACGCTGGTCAATGCGGGTTGGAGGTAGGGTACAGCAGCTCTGCTCTTTCCGTGACTCACCATGGAGCGCAGCAGCCCATAACACCGATTACGCATGGCGGGGACTCATCAAAAGTGCTACACAGGCAAATTTCCAGCTTAGCTTCCTGTTGAAATATTGTACACAATGTGATTTGTATTGTACAATACAGGACAATCTTTTGTGGACAATTTGCTAAAACAATTATACATCGACATAATACGCATTTTGTAAACTTGGCAGTGCGTTCGAATAATTACGGTTGAGTTATCTACACAGAGACGCCGCCCCTGTTAACGCACATCCATGCTTTATACCCTGCTGCATGAAGGCCTCCCACGGTCAAGCTGTCGCAACATCGCGACAAATCCTGGGATAGAACACGCGCAGCATCGATGGATGATGAAACAATTGTCTATTAGGCAATGGGTAGATCTTTGAATGTATGAGGGCGAAGGCGAGAAAGCCCACATTAAGCGCCAGGGTCAGGCCGAGACAAAGCGTGTCCAGAGGGAAACCCTCTGACCCTGACATCCGCGTCCCAGAATCTCGCGCAAACTCTCGCGATAACCCCCCCCCCCCCCATTCACCACTTCACCGCGCGGGTTCAGCGTCGCCCACGAGAACACAGCCGCGCCGCGCAAATAGTTCCAGGGCCACATCCGCTGTGAAAACCCCCCACCACCACCACCACGCCACCTATTTTTTCTGACTCGTTCAAGACGATTTGGAGAACGCGTCAATTTACGGAAGGCGGGCGGCTTGAGGCGGTTTACGCCAATCGGTGCACTACTTTTTGGGTAAGATCGGAGGGGAGGGGAAAGAGAGGCGGTGGGGGAGGGGCTGGGCGCGTCACTGTGTGTATCTCTGCGCGGCCGGACAGGAGCCGAGCTTCGTCGCCCCGCGCCGCTCTCCATTTCTCTCGCCTCGCCTCGCCGCCGTCGCCGCCTCCTCGCTCTCCGTCGACTCTCTCCGCGCCCTCCGTCCTTCCTCCCTCTATTGCTCACCCCTCTTTCCCCCTCCCCTCCCTTCGTCCGTATTCTTCGTCGTCAACCACGTCGCACGGCGATGGCGCTCAAGAGGATTCAGAAGGTGAGCCCCGTTCAGCGCCGCCGCCGCCGCTTGCGTTACTGAGGGGGGAAGGAGCGAGAGAGGTTAGGGGGTGGGGGGGTGGAGTGGGGGGATGTGAGGGGCGGGGCTGTTGAAGAGGGGGGAAGGGTGTGAGGGGCGAAGGGTGTGAGGGGCGGGGCTCACATTTCCCACCCCGCACGCGCTCTGCGCCGGCTCACGTGACACAGCCAACGAGTGGGTGGGGGGGGAACGGTGTGGGGGGGGGGGGAACGGTGTGGGGGGGGGGGGGGAACGAGGTGGGGTGGGGGGGTCACGAGGGGCTTGCGCAGCCAATGGGAGGCGACGCGGGGGGGGCCCCATCCGCTGTGGGGAATGTGGCGGTGGTGGCTGCGGCTGCTGCTGCGGTGGTGGTGGCGGCGCTGGTGAACGGCGACTGCCATTTTCTCTCTCTCGCTCGCTCTCTCGTCCCGAGGAATCACCACCACCACCCCCCCCAAACACCCCCCCAACAACCCCCTTCCGACCCATGCAGCCTGCCGCTCTCTCGGGGCGGCGGCGATGCCGACGACTCTCGGAGAGCGACAAAGACGGCTGCGGAACTTAGCCACTTAACGCGCACCCAGCACCAACCACGCGTGTTACAACGATAATAATGTTACGAACGTCGAGCGCTGCCTCCCCTCCGCGTTTAAGGAACGCGGTTTAAGCGCTCGTAATGCGTAAAAAAAACGATGTTTGACAACGCAATACATTCTTGTGTGTTTTTTAATAGATTTGGTTTAAATATGGTACGTGACGAGCAAACTGGACCGTTTTTTTTATTCGGTGTCTTAAATCCTCACTTTACGCGCAATGATGGTGAACCCAATCCGATGTTTGAAGGCCAGGCCAAGCAGGGCCGCTGTCGGGTGAAAATGGCTCCTATGTATTTCGACACAAAACAATAAATGACACCTTAACAAATACGAACACGTAATGTGGTGCGAAGCATTGACACACCGCCCACACAACCAAGTGTTTTTTTCAATGTACAAAAGAATCGGGAGTCATGGCTCCCCCAGGCCCCCAGCCACGCGTTGTTCACCTCTACTGTACATTGTTAGGAGGTTGTGGGGATCTCGTCAGATCCCTATTATGGAGAACATGGGCCGTTGTCATCATTTCGTATTCATAAGTAACGTACTTTTGAATACTCGAGCTTCAGTTACGAGAGAATGGCAATACGAGACGATAGGTTGCTAGAGGACAACCTTCAACTGAGCAGAGGCCCGCGCGTGTGAGTGTGTGTGCGTGGGCCGCGTCTTTACTCGGCCGCAGCGAAACGTGCGGCGACGATGGTGGCTCGGGCTCCCGACTCCTCCATCGGCCTTCGGACCGGAGCCAGTTGTTTCAGTCGGTACACGAACAGAAACATTAAAACAAAAATACGCTTTGAAGATGCGGGCTGTGTCGGAGGAGGAGGTAACAACAGCGGCAGCAGTAGCAGCAGCAGCGAGGTTTCGTGAAGCCACTTGGCATTCATAGGCTGTGGGACAAATCCACTGCAAGGCCTCCTTAGCCAAGCCACGAGCCGCCATCTCTCGCCATCCCGTGATGTCACCGCCACCATCACCGGGCGCTTTGTGTTGTGTCATCGCATAGAGCCGCTCTCTTGGTTGCCATCATTTTTTTTACAATTGGTTTCGGGTTTTTTTTGTTGAGGAGGATGAGGAAGAAGTGAGGAATGTGTAGTGAAGGATCGGGCCTCTGGGGGCTGGCTATATAAGTCGTGTAATCGGAGCGGCGCCAAGGCAAGCTGGTCGGTGGCAGTGGGACGGTTGAAGCATTTTAAGTGAAATGCTGTTCAGCAAATGATGTTCGCTATTCTGCCGTATGCTTACCACCACGTCGCCCCCTGCAGCTGTTGTGTACATGGCACTCGCTCATCCCCAACACTCTGCGGGCTCTGATTATGGCGTCTTTTGTTGTCGCTTAAATATGAAGAGATCGGGCGAGCGCTTTTCGGAGTGAATTGGTCATAGGCAATTGCACACCCATCTCGATCCGTGGGGTTTTATCACGATTCTGGTCACGAATTCCATCGAGGCTCCAATTCTTTTGTCTGTGTTCGGCTCGTGTATTTTATCTGTGTAGTTTTGTTACCGTCACGTTCCGCTTCATTCGTCACGGCGTAATGGCAGCACCCGACAATGTTAACACATCCTGATGAGTCGATTCTTACACGCATGATTGTCCGTTTTGAACGTAATCAAATGTAGCCGAATCTTTTATTTCGTACCAGTGACGCAACATTGACAGTTAAGTAACAGGTTAATGTGCATACGCCTGATAACTGCATACCATTTTTTTAAACCTTCTTTTGGATCACCACTACATGGGATACACTATTATTGAAATGCGGCACTCGGATCTAGTGGCGCTGAGCCAGCGGTGGAAATTGGACATTAACATGCCAGGGACCAGTTTTACTAGAACACCGCTCACTGTTGACTTATCACAAAGTGGTATCCACTTCCTCGACCGAGAATAGATGGTGGGGGACAAGCAGCCCATTACTCTACTGAGATTTGACCACGTGTAGCAGCAGCTTGCGTTACCATTGTTATAACCACTCGTATAGGGGCGGGTGGGAAATCACCTTTACTTCCTTAAGTTCATAGTAATTGTTAAAATGCGGGCCACCGTGACTTCCTCACTCGATGTCGTGTACACATTGCACCCCTTCATGACAGCTGTTGACCAGTTGCATCATATCTAAGGCTCACAAACACGTTGTCGCCCCTTCGCTCTCGCATCTGTATACCACCAGAGCCTTTGACCCCGAATCACTCGCAATGTACAGTACTTGGTCTCGTCAGATCTCGGAAACTAAGCAGGCTTGAGCCTCGACATTGCTTGGGATTGGCGACTACCATGCATAACACAGGCGTAGGTTGCTGTGAGGTTGTAATGTCAACAGAGGGCATTGCAGTAGCACTGTTGGACTGTACACCTGTGTTTCGATGTATGTTCCCTGCCTTCAACCTGTACTGTGACCAGCGTAGAAAAGTGTAGCTAAATAACCCCTGCACGACCTGCACGGCGTGGGGAAGGGCCCCCTTCCAGTCGTGAATTAATACAACGGCTGCACATTTCCAAATGTATTCCAATTGAACCTTCATCATACTTGGTGTCCATAAAGACCTCCGTTATTTTAAATGTTATAGACAGCAGTTTGAGGGCGGTCTCTAAAACTGCACACACCCCCGCTTGGTAGTATACCACTTTTCATGTACGAGTTTTAGTTCTCTAAGCCTCCACCTGTCCAACGCCACACTTCATATGGATGCACGAGTTATATTGTTGTCAGCGTGCTGTGTTTGATTGTTTTAAATGCTCCTGTGCTGTTGAAGATGACTTTTTGGCAACCGCTTGATCTTCAATAAGGAACACGTTGGCAACATTTTACCAAGGCACTTCAAACTGCCGTCTAATTATAATGCTTTCATTATGGACGATACTCTTATAGATACACTATTTTTAGCACCCCCCTTTCCCCTACATTGCAGCTATATGCTGGCTTCGTCATTAATGTAGATCACCATTACTACATAATGTGTTGTAGCTATGCATGTTTCTCTCTTGGTGAGAATCATAAATGCATGATAGCTGTGATATAAAGACAGCCGTAACTATTTTCACCACTACAGTATTTGAATTTGGTGCTTGACTGCTATATTGGTCTCACCGTTAGCTATTATTCGTTGTCATACTGTTCATATTGTCAGCAAATTCCTTTGCCAAAGATTGCAGGCCTCCGTTGTAGGATACATTGTACATCTTGCAGGCGTGCAGAACATTCTGACACCCACAATTTAAAGGATCATACTTTGAGCCTCTATAGCTGGTAGCATCTTTTTAACGTTGTTAGATTTTCATGAGGTAGCTTAGCACATGTAAACCAATTTGTTATTGAAGCTTTCTCCCATCCCTTTCACATCGGGGCATGTGTGTTTGTCTCAGTAGGCACACATCTCGATTTTGTGGCGTTTCCCTATTAACTGGAGAGAATATTTGGCCCTGAAACATGAAGCTATTGTCTTTTGGTAATTGGCCATGGAGCCCAATGCACACCGCAAGTGTCAAAGGCATTGTCAACATTTTATGGATTGCGTGGAAGGCACTGTTTAGTAACCACGGTGCCTGGTCAGACCAATAGACCATTTTAAGGCTAATTCCATGTCAGTGACGCAAGGCGTCTTGCATTATCCCTTGCATCCACTTATTGGCAATTGTGCGCATCGTTTACCATGTTCGTGTGTTGGTTTTGTTACTGTGCAAAGGACCTTGGTGTCAGAAGTACTGAAAGGTCCGTCACTACCGCAGAACGCTAATCTTCACCTTGAAACATTACAAAAGGGCCCTTGGCTGTATTGACAGAGCGTGGTCTCATTTTATGGCCATATGAATGCTGCTTCCTGTATTACATCAGATATACACGTTTTAGAACTCGGTGCATAAAACTTAAATTACTAATATTAATGAGTATGCAGTATTCATTCATTAGTTCACATTGTGTGCAGTTGTAAATTAGGCACATTTCTGATCGTTTAATGAAATACCATAATCAGAGACGGTAATACAACCTTTTTTTTATTAGTACTATTTTTGGTCATTTTTTATAAGTTATATTTCAATTAAATGTGTGTTTAATTAAATAAGTCCTTGTTGAATTCCCTTCTCCAATGCTGAAATTTGCAATATTTTAATGGTCATCTGCTGTATGTTCCTTATGCATGAAAAGTATTTCATGTTTATTCAATAAAGATATTTCATCTCATCTATGAATTTGGCCTAATTAAGTCTTTACTGTGTTCAGGGTATTACATGTGATTGTTTTATATTATAGAGCAGACTTTACACTGAATTAAATCAATACAAATTTGAATTAATCCTGAATTAAATAAACATCACTCACTATACCGTCGATCCTGGACTAGCATAGAATGATATTGAAATATTTAACAAGGCACTGCGATGCACTGTTGACATTGCGTGTGCTTTGTACTTATCGGCATGAAATTACATATTTACAATTAATGTTTACTAAATATCTGGTAGTGTTTAGACACTGCATGCCTTTTTTTGTAAAAGTTCTGTAAGTTAAATATTGGCGATGTATCAGTGCACTACTGCATCTTTCAATGATTTGCCACCGTTTGGTGTTGTGTCGGTTCACAAATGTATCCTTTTTGCCTTTGGCGTGCATTTATTGAGCCTCTTTTGCTGGAATGTTAAAGAGTGAATGAATGGTTCCTCGCCACAACAAAATAAAACAGTTTATCTGCAGGTCATCATCGTGCCTTCCAAACCAATACATTCTCACGACATTTGTCTTAGCAGACGAACCATACATTTTTTTGGTTGTATAAAACTGAAAACGTAAGAATTGCGAATAAATTATTAACATGAATGATGTCATGCGTCTACTGTATAACAATAGCGTTTCATTTATTGATTCTGTCATTCATGCTTTGGGATAGCCTACGTTTGTTAAACACACTCAAAACCTTGCCCATCGTGGGGGCTACGTTCTTGACAATAGCCACAATCGGCATATCCGAGACCTGCAAACTCAAAAGGCATACGGAAAAATGGGGTTTGTTTCACGGTTCACAATACCCCCCCCCTCACCTAATTTTTATGTTAACCTACTCTAACCCAAACATGAAACTCCAAGTATTTTTTCAGTAAGATATGCTAAAACATATATATTTTGTCCTAAATATAACTTGAGAGTAAATGTATAGAGTAAAAAATATATGTAGTGTACAGTACTGTATGCAGACGTAAACCTGAATGACGTGTAGAGTAGATGTGCAGTTTGAAAAAGAACAAACTGAAAAGATGTTTACTAAATGTGAATAATGATGGCTTGTGTATTCTTCCGCGGCAGACTCATCGCGTGCAGTGCAGTTTTGAGTATAGTACTTTTTTTACAATGCATTCTGTACAGGTATCTCGGGTCAACCATGAATGGTCGAGCCACAGGGGCGCGATCGGCGAACTGTACTTCAATAATTTTCCGTGCCAATAATCAAATCTGCAATTGGTGAAGTTTGAGTTGCATCATTTTATGGAAATATTGTAAGACTTGCATTCATGATACACAGACAGCATTGCCAAGGTTTTTTTTTTATTTTATTTAAAATATATTCGTGTTATAATGTGTCAGGGTTACACAGATGACAGCAAAAAATGTACCTACTTTTGAAACCCTGTCGCATACCATTCAATGTTGACTTCACAGTGGTCGTCACCTCCATTTGAAGATGCAGAATAGAGAGCAAACCTCCCAAATTGGCACGTGAAGTGGCCCAGTGGTGAGCAATCCTAACCACTGTTTTCCAGCCATCATTGCAGGAGTTACCGATGCTCTTTTTGATTGATTGATTGCATTTTTTGACAAGCCAATGAACCATGCTTTTGTTCTAGATGACCACTTGGCCTTGCTTTCAAATCCTAATGGCTGGACGTGCTTTTGCTCGTGTGTGTGTGTGCTGTGCTGTGCAGGAACTGAATGATCTGGGACGTGACCCTCCAGCGCAATGTTCGGCAGGCCCGGTGGGAGATGATTGTAAGTGACGCGGCATCAGTACAGTCAACATTTGCGTGAATCTCCTCCATCCATAATACCGTTTGTATGCACCAGTTAAATGTACACCTTAATTATTTATGTAGACATAACTTTCAATGACCGCTGTCTCTGTAATGCTAATTACATTTTATTGGAAGTTCTTGTATAACAGGTCATATCTTGTTTGACATGTTACACAAGAATACTTAGTTGGGATTACACATAGCAGCATCGCCCCCAACTGCATAACTGTTGCAGACTAGGGGTTGTTCGGGGGCACCTGTGGCACCCCTCACAACCATTGACGGCCTTCGGCCAGGAATGTCACGAAAAAAATTGCAAACGAACGACACATTCACGCAAGCACCCGATGCACCATTTTGAAGTTTTAAAATGAAACATTTTGAATTCTGACTTAAAGCTTTCGTGACTGCAGGGATTCATATTCTTGGTTCTTTCGGTAAAGTTACGTAGAAGGGAAACAATAAAATAATAAATATATAAAACAATCAAATTCTCACGACGTTTCAACTGCAACACAAGCAATCATCATCAGGTGTGAAAACCACAAGAAAATTCAGTCGAAACGTCGTGATAATTTTATTGTTTTATATTTTATTATTTTATTGTTTCCCTTCTATGTGACTTTACCGAAAGAACCAAGAATATATATTTTGAATTGTATTATGTTTTGAATTAGATAAAAAAAAATTTCATTAAAAGCTTATATCATTTTACATCTGGAATACTTAATTGAAAACGACATTTCGTGTGAATTTCCTCTCGTCGTTAAGTAGATGGCCTTGCTGGGGGTTTGGTTCGATGCGGACTTTCACCCGCAGCCCCGCCAAGCGTTGGTTGGCTGCTTGGTCCCGGTCACGTGACGCACTTCAACCAATCCGTGCCGCGTTAGTCACAGAATTACAGAATCACAGACCTGGGTGTTTATATATTAGTATTATCTGAAACATGGCACCTTCGTGATAGTGCGAACACCAATTATACGAATAATTTTATTTGATAAGCTCTTTGTCAAGCCTCCCCATACCTTGCAGGTCATGGGGGTTATGTAACCATACTTCACAATGGTCAATGTTGGTGATCAATGTGGGGAGCAATAGATGTGGTAACATTGAAGTGCCATGCAAGTATGAATTTTGTTCCACCACTCTGCTTCCCATAACATAGCCCCACAGCCTATAAAACCTGTTATGTATGGTGGTTGCCCATCTGTGTCTACCTTGTATAGAAATGTCTGTAAATATGTTTTTGTTACATTAGATTACAACAGCATCGTGCTGACACAACCTAGTCGTTTGAAACGCTGGATATTGTTGTTTTATACCCACATTTTGATTTATATTTGCATGTGTTACGTGTAATTGTTTATGTACTGTTTCATAATGTAAGATACGGTGAAACTTGCATTATCTGTAATGGTCAGGCAGAGACCCTGCAGTGCCAAGACTTGAGCACAATGCAAATGAAGATACACAATACAAATGGGACTGTGCTACAAGGGAGATATACAGAGCAAAAAAAACAGACCATGCAGAGGATTTGGCACAGATGAGATGGTAAAAAATAATTTATCAGTCCAGATTAGAAAGAATCAGATAAAAATAATAATTTTTTTAATTGAGTTTTGGTCATAAATTGTGACACGATTGAATCGCATTCACAGCCGCCATGTGAATTTGTCTCGTGATTTCACCTGCTTGGACAGGGTTAACCAATCGGAGATCGGTGCTGGAATAGCCCATCACAGTAGCATTTGCAGATTGTTACATTTGTTTTGAATAACTAAAGTTTTTTTGCTCCTTTGTAGTTCTTTTTTACGAGTGCATGTGTGTACATCAGCAAAGGTGTTTGTACTTCATGTGTGTGCGTGTGTGAGATATTAGTCATGCGTGAGGATTGGTTGGTGCATCGTGCTACAAGCCCGATTACTCAGGTTCAGTTCCCAGCCATGACTAATGTCATGGGCCATTGGCACCTGCACCTGTCTTGAGACTCCCCCAAGTTTGACTCGACCATAAAGTGATTCATTGTGTCACCATCACTTGAGACGAAGACGGTTGGGTGTGGTGTTGGTCACACTACCCCTTCATGTGCTGTGCCAGCTTTCATGGGTGATTGTTAATAGCACTTATTGCATGGCCTTCATGGCAAAGTGGGAGGTCTCTTGTTTCTGCACAAGCAGAGGGTACTGATCAAAACCTATCGCAAAAGGGAAAGTGTCTGTTTTCATTGCGATTGAGTAGTTTATAAGGGATGCTTTTTTCTATATTATATAAGCCACTTTACAAAGTCGACTTCTTAAAACCACCACGCCAAAATGTATACATTTTACCATTAATTTTACCATTAGCTGGATGATAAATATAGTTTTGAGCATTAAATCAATATTTTATGTTTTCCAATCATTTCATTTTCATGTTGAAATTCAAAGAGGAAAACTGACCTGAACTCACACTTCAACAATATTGTTCCTCCTGACAACCCCCTCTCCCACTCTGATTACTTTCACTCTTGGCATCGTAACTTAATGCTCTCATGTGTTCAAACACTTCCTGTGTTGCATTTCCCCTAACTCCCGACTCAACCCCATCACCATTCTCGTATCACTGCCCTTCCATTCATATCGTACCATTCCCATCACTCCCAATCCCATCACTCCAATCCCTCACTCCCCACAGTCTCTCCTTTCGCCACACTTCTTTCCCACACTTTATTGTCATCATACTTTTCCCTTTCCACAATGCCCCTTTCCTTTACAACGTCCTGTTATTCTCTAGTGACATGTTGCCATGTGATGTCACGCGGTTGCTCTTGACTCCCAGAGTCCTTTCACACTGTCCCTCGCTCAGAAGTTTCTTGACTCCTTCTGGCTTGGTCTACGTCATAGTATTTGTCACACAGCCCTTCTCTTTCTCCCCCTCCACTCCAAACTGTTTAATCCTCCCCTCTCTAACCAGACCCTCATTTATTGCCAAAAGACATGACAATCGATGTGGCATAACTGTTGTGATGTCATCGTATATGCACAACGTCACAAATACATCCCCCTCTAAAATGTTATGGAGCTATTGCAGGGAATAATGCCTTTAGGGATTAAAAACAATCTTGTCATTTCTGTACCCTCATCAAATTCAAATAATGCATTGAGACTGTTTTCATAATGTGCCGAATAGCAATTACTTTTCCGTGTTTTGGGAAAGACAAGCCCAGATTTGAGTAGGAAAGAGAACTGCCATGATATCAGCTCAATACAACAGTGAAGATATGGAAGAGATACAATAATATTTGCAAGATCAGTTTCAGTTATTAGGTATATGTTGAATGTGTATACTTATAGTCACTTTTCTCTTCAAGATGTTAACTCGTGCAAGTTTGATTGACAACAGCTTGCATGCCCAGACACCAGCCTTTTAAAGACCCCATGAAGATGTGGTAGTGCTGCTGGATGGTCCACATGCTGGAATGTTGTATCCTACTCTTCGAGCCACATCCAGACATTCTACCCTCATTAAATAGCTCCCTTGTCAAGTCGGCAGAATGAACTGTGGCGGATAATAAGTAGATTACCATTGTTAAGTGTGGAAGAGGAAGGAGGCACTGACCGCTCTGCATGTGGTCATATAATGATGCAGGCCTATATGCCCTGCATCCAATGGTGAACTGCACTGGCAAGAGAGCCTCAGTTTATACTTCTCAGGCAACTTAAAATGATGGAGGTCAATCGAAACACTTATACCTCACAACAAGAAGGGCCTGGGTTCATTTCGTGACTCAGGTGTTTTTCTGCGTGAAATGTGTGTGTGTGTGTTTTCCCTGTGTTCTGCATGCGTTTCCTCCCCATTCTCCGGTATCCTCACATTGCAAAAAAAGCATTCAATGCATCTGCTCACAAACATCCCAATGCTGAAAAATGACCTGTAAATGACTCAATTAGGATTACACAGAGACAACATCACCCACCTCAACTGCGAAAATCTTAGCAGGACTCTCCTGAAAAAGTTGAGGCATAATTTGATTTATATTATTGGACGTTTTATGAATACCTTACAGTACAGTCGGTGCACCATCATATTGTGTGCTATATATGGCAGACTCGTCATATAAATTATTCTGTGCCCTATAATATTTGTAGAGCTGTCAAATTTTCCACTGAACTATCTCAGCTAAAATCTTGATTTGCCTCTTAAAATCTAACGTAATATTAACACAGCATTGGCATGGCTCGTACATTTGTGCTTCTTATGCACACTATTTATCAAGGTCATGAAAATATTTCATATTAATGATTGCATGCCTAGTCCTGCCCACATGAGTATTGGACTCTACTTTAGTGGCCCTAAGCCATTGTTGGAGATTCCTCAATGCTACGGCGGAGTCATTATCTCTGGTGGTTTCCCATTAAATTATGTGGCCTTTCATGAACAACAATGACAGTGTATGAATCAGGCCCTAGGTCTAAATAGAAGTAAGTTCACTGCAACAATACTGCATTCTGAAACATAAAAAAAAGTTGAACACAAGCCTATTATGAATGTTAGCTTGAAATATCAACATCTGTATTAATAAGCTCCATAGTACTATATTATGTGAGTGTCGTTATTGCTTACACTGTTGGTCCGATCCATTGCCTCCAAGTTAGCCTGCATTAAAAATGGGAGATGGTCTGTCCTGGATCTGCCAAACCCTCCATCCAGTCCAACTGGTTTAGTCTTGTGGTGATCTTGATAGCATCAGCCAGTCTTCCTGAGCCGAATATCTGCAACATGAGATCAGGGCAAATACTGTTGGCAAGATTCCTTTTGGGTTTAGCGCACAGGTAGGCAACTAGTCAGGTACTTGTGTAATCGTGAAGTTTTTGCGATTTTCATAGCTCAAAAGCATTAAACAGCGGTGGCAGCATGTTAAAATGTGGAGATGCTAGTTTCATCATGAAGGCCACGATTACCTTCTTCTATATATCATTGGCAGTGCCTGGGCAA